TACGGCCACATTGTGTTGAAACGTTGGTTCCCGTGCGATCAACGAAGTTAAGCAACATTGAACCTGCTTAGTATCTAGATGGGTGATCACTTGCGAATACTAGGTGCTGTAAGCTTGGATTTGCGGGTGTTGGAATTGATAATGGCTCGGAACCGGAAAGCTGGGTTCGTTATATTCACTTACGCAGAAATACCCTTGGGAAATCTATGAAGCCACCTATTCTCCCTCCAGCAATGGGTTAATTAAGAAGAAACCATTATTATCTCTAAAAATAAAATTATCTATCTAGTTTTCGGCATTAAATAACCAATAGAAGTTGATATGCCGCTAAACAAAAACACAAAAAAACACCCAACTCGCTTATAGACCAGTATAATGTTTATATATATATATTTTTTTTTATCTGCTGTCTTTCTGTTCTATATATACAATGGTAATTTTTACTTTGGGCTGAATATTAACCTCTATCGCAGAGTTTCTCAACCGGTGCGCCCGGGCGCTCTGATGCGCCCTGAACGTACAGATGCGCCTCAAGTTAGCTGATGGGCAATTTATGAATTATTTTTTATATTTAAATATCTTTATTTATAAAAAAAAAAAAAAATAAAAGCCAGAGACTCCAAAAGCACATGGTTCCGTTTTTTAAGTCAAATATTTTTCATTTGATATTTTAAACTGTATGCTAGATTTCTTAATCTTTAATAGGGGGAGGGGACAACCCTTCATCTCTTTGCTTTCCTCAAGGTATAACATACCATGCCTATCATTAAAAAAGCACAAGTTTAATACAAGCATATCTAAATATAAAATGTAATGTTTTAAAAAATAAATGCTTATTTCAGGAGACGTTTTCCTTATTTTCCTATTTTCAAATTTCATAACTAATGATTTCTTATTAAAACTGAAAGTTTTAGTAATTATACAAGTGAAAAAAATGGAAAATACTACTTTATAGGTTATTTAATGCCGAAATCTAAATATTTTTTTACGCAAAGTTATGGCTTCAGAAACTTATGTTTTTAAAGTAATTGTATACTTTCAGTTACAGATATTTTCTATATATTTTTATACATTTTCGGTAAACATTTTTTTATTATATATAGTATGTAGATAAAATGTATTCTATTTACATTATTCGGACTATTGTCCTCATCTTTGTCGCCTCGTTTATCACAACGTTTCGGCCGTTGTACGCTCCGGCATACATCAAGTGGTTGGAATGTCGAACTGAACCCTTTATTTCGCTCGCTGTTCTAGTTCCACGTGCCATGCCTAATGGATGTCAGTTATCTCCTGTTAATTCCACTCTGAAAGTTCTCCCGGTATTGAACTCACACTCTTTGTGTCATGTCAATGGATCTAACCAACGCCTTTATCCACTGTCCTTGAGGATATCTGCGTTTGAATTTCTGGGTATTATAACGTAATGTCCTAAATAATCATTTTTTACCAGTGCTCATATTGCAGTTTTTGCTGTTATCATTGCATTTTTTTTTACCAGAGCTCATATTGCAGTTTTTGTTGTTATTATCGCGTTCCTCTGGCACTCCATATTACTCGTTCCCATATTTTATTCATTTCTAGACAGATATAAAAAAATGTATTGCTCATACTTTTATTACAAGAATGTATTGATGGTAATATCACTGCTAAAATGTATTGATGGTAATATCACTGCTAAAATGTATTGATGGTAATATCACTGCTAAAATGTATTGTTGGTAATTTTCTATTAAATGTATAGATGACATTTTTACTATAAAAATGTATTTTTATACTTTCATAGTGTTTTGATTTCATATACTTTCATAGTGTTTTGATTTTTGTTTGTGGGGATTCACTATATGCTCATAGCTTGGATCCAAACATATGCTATCACTCCCCCCCCCACCGGCTCAGGGTGGTCTTAAGAAGAACAGCAATTAAGAGGTATTTTCACGATCCTTAAAATCTCCAATCTCCCGATCAGATGCTGCCTGATGTAGTTTATCGTCATACCCAGGAGTTCTTACCGTTACTTTGGAAATTGTTCACGTATTAATTTGTATATGTGATCGTTTATAGTAATCCATTTAAATTACTTGTACAGATAATCTTGAATAAATTCAGCCATGCATTAAGTTTTTTGTTTTATTTCCCATCCCTGAATGCAAGAATTTATAATCAAAAGAGGCCTATCCGTGGTGAAATGTTTTAGAAAAACATTACTTCTGCATTGTCACTTCGAACTTCATTGCTTACCCCAACATAGTCGCCTTTCGCTATGTGTGTGTCTTGAGAAGGGTCTCACTAATTCTCTTTGTAGTTATGGCATCAGCAGTGGATCAGTTTGTGTGAAACACATACTACTCATCACACAAGAGGTTGTCCCAATCCAGGTGCTCAGCGACCTTTTTGATAAAGGTTTGATAAAACTTACTGATGAAACTGAGGATACTAATGAGTCTATACTGGGATGGGGAGAATCGGTCGCCCGCGTTCTTAAAAACCGGACATACGCTTGCCATTTTCCACAGGCTTGGGAAAGATTTATCTTTCAAGCAGTGGTTAAATAACTTTGGTAGGGTCAGGGATAATTCGTGGTTGATATTCTTAAAGACGACCCCTGGACTTTTTTGGATCGAGGCTTTTGATAAGTCTGGAGACTTCTATTACTGAAATGAGTATATTACTAAGATTGTGCTCAGTGAGACGTGGAAAGTTGGTGAGGGGATGGCCTTTGTAATCTAATGTTGAGTTTGAAGCAAAGATCGTGGCGAAGAGCTTCGCCTTGTCTGTCGATATGACCTCGAGGCCATTTATAATAGTGGGCACAGCTGCTTTGGATCTATTTATAATTTTGTTGGTAATCTTCTAGAATTTGCGATATCCAATTTGTTTCTTTTCAACCCTAATCTGGACAACTCTCGCCGAGCTGCACTTTGCTTATTCCAGAATTCTCTTACGGCGATTGTGGGCTGTTCTAAAAGCAGTAAGGGCTCCTTGCAATAGATTTTCAACTAGTGGTTCCGGTGAGCTATGGTTGCAGCGCATTCAGGAGTAACCTAGGCTGTCTGTTTTTTGCTAGAATATTTTTTGGGGGGGTATAAAACAATGCATTCCAGAAAGGACCGAGTCAGAGATTAGGGCAGCAGTTTTGTGGGCAGCAATTTTATAGGCAGCATGTTTGAAGAAGGTTGGGAGACGAGCTTCCGTCATACAGGACCGAAAACTGCCCCACTCTGCCTTCGCATAGCGAAAAACCGATCTATTGAACGGTAAATCAGGGGATGTCATTGGTTTGCAGTCAATCTCATGCTGAATAGGGAATGCTCTGACAATCCTATAGAGGGTAAAATTTTTGCTTAGCAGTTGTCAGGGCAGAATATTAGAAAAAGGTCGCGGAGGTTTGCGTCTTGTCCCGTCAAATCCAGGACTCGGGTGAGGTCTTCAATATTTCCAATAGCGTATTGAAGAACACTGGATCGATTGATTGATTCGTTTTCGATGGTTTATCAACCCTTTTCAGGTTATTTAAAGCCATAAAATACTTTTAGATTGTAAGAATTCTTCACTTTTGAGATAATAATGATTTAGTGATACAAGTCTTACTAATTAATCCATAGATGAGGAGAAAAGATAGAGTCATACCTTTCACAAAGGATATTGCACCATTTTCCACAGGAGTATAAAGGTAAAAAAGAAAGAATAGGCGTCTGTATTTGTCCGTAAAATTGATCTCTTCGACTATGTTGTTGATATTCAAGCAAACATTTTGGCTGATCCATTCTACAGCCTTCTACAGGTGTATACAGGGAAAGAAGAATAAATATCTTTTTTTTTTATTCTGAAAATTGATCCCCTAGGTTTGACTGTTGATATTATAGCGATATTTAGGTCGTTGCCTTCTACAGCCTTCTGGAATATATATAGGTACCGGAGAATTGACGTCTCGTTCTCTTCTGAAAATTAATCTCTTAGTTTTGGCTGCTGATATTAAAGCGACATTTAGGTCGTTACCTTCTACAGCCTTCTAGAAGTGTATATAGGTAAAGAAGAATAGACCTAAACAAATGCCATATTTATGTTTTTCATCTGTTTCTTCTTGTAATAATTACCCCATCTGTTCAAATAATCGTATTTAATTTCTTTGAGGCATGTTTTACGATGCCAGATAATTCAGCTGCTAGAGAAAAATCGTTTGCTGTCATATCTGTAACTTGCTTGTTTACTACGAAGTATAAAACCTGGGTGAACATTCTCGAAGTGTAGCGATCCCATAATTCTTGCCACATGATTCTCTACATCATTATTTATTATTGGGGGGTTGATTGTGTTCAGCGGCATATCAGCCTCTATGATTTATTTAATGCCGGAAACTACATATTTGTGACTTCAACTATAGATATTTTCAAGGCAAACGTATCTTTCTTCTTAGATATATTGTTTGTAAATGATTAAATTTTTTGCTGGTAATTTTTTTAAATATGTATTTCTGGTAATTTCAATACAAAAATGTGTTGCGGGTAATTTTACTATAACGACGTGTTTTTATACATTTTGTATATTATTGATGGTCATTTTGCTATAAAAACGTATTAGTAATAATTTTATTATAAAATGTACTGTTGATTTTTGTTTGGGAATTCACCATAGCTAGGACCCAAGCAGGTGCTACCACCTCGCGTCAGTGTGGTCCTGGGTTCCGCAGCAGTTTAGAGGCGGTCCTATGCTCATCAAAACAACCAATCTTTCGATGTGAGGTTTTGCTGCTGGATGGAATTTATCGTCATACCCAGGACGGGTCATTGTTTATTTTTAGGGAATTTGTTGTTTAAAGATTGTCTAGTTGTTATGGATATTTACCAAATCCGCCTAAGCTTAATACATATCTTCCGTTGCTGATTTATTCGTGTGCATAATATATAATATATGTGTATATCTCAGATCTGCTTCGTACTCTTTTCGTTTCTTGTTTTTTTGGGTTTTTTTAAGCTGTTATCTTGCTTATGATGATTAAGGTTCTCTTCAAATAATTTTTCAACATTATTTTCGAATTACTATGACTTCTTTGAAAAGATAAAGACTTGGTTTCCCGTTACATTTTTCACGGTTCTATCATTTTCCTAGGCTA